AATAAGAATCTCTGAATTATAATCAATGCCATGTTATTAGGACCTGATTCCCACGAAGAGAGAACTGAGAAATTGATGACTTTTCTCCATTATGTTTCAGTTCTTGTTATGCCAAATAAACAGAATCTAGAAAAATATTAGAATTTAAACAGAATGTTGCTGATGCCCAAGAACAGGCAACATTTGCCTTCACCACTGCTGGAACTGGCAGCACACCACACTTCGGCTCCACACTGCAAGTGTATGTGCTGGCACTTTGTGAATGCTGTGGCAGGGTGGAAAAGGTCTGTGTGGGGACTTGTAATTTTCTTCTGCTGCCGACACCACTGGCAACTTATTCATCAGAACAATATTGTTGTAGGTGCAGAAATAATATTTGTACGTCACAGTCAAAATAAATACTAGCGTTGAGCGACAGTTTAACGACATTAGTGTCCTCAGATTGGCAAGACTTCTGCTGACCTTTATTTAAACAGAATCATAGAATCACTTAGGTTGGGAAAGACCTTTAAGATCATCAAGTCCAACCATTAACCCTACTCTGCCAAGTCCAGCACTAACCCATATCCCCAAGCACCACATCTAGATGACTTTTAAACACATCCAGGGATGGTGACTCAGCCACCTCCCTGGGCAGCATGTTCCAATATCTGACAACCCTTTTAGTGAAAAAATTCTTCCTAATGTCTAGTCTAAACCTCCCCTGGCGCAGCTTGAGGCCATTCCCTCTTGTTCTGTCACCAGTTACTCGTGAGAAGAGACCAGCTCCTGCCTCTTTACAACATCCTTTCAGGTAGTTGTAGAGAGCAATGAGGTCTCCCCTCAGCCTCCTTTTCTTCAGACTGGGGCTGTTTAGCCCCAGTTCCCTCAGATGCTCCTCATCAGTCTTGTTCTCAAGGCCCTTCACCAGCTTTGTTGCCCTTCTTTGGACACTCTCCAGCGCCTCAATGTCGTCTTGTATTGAAGTGCCCAAAACTGGACACGGTATTCCAGGTGTGGCTTCACCAATGCTGAGTACAGAGGGATGATCACCTCCCTGGCCCTGCTGGTCACACTATTCCTAATACAGGCCAGGATGCCATTTTCCTTCTTGGCCACCTGGGCACACTGCTGGCTCACATTCAGCCACCTAGCAATCAGAATCCCCGGGTCCCTTTCTGCTGGACAGGTTTCCAGCTGCTCTTCCCTCTGCCTGTAGTGTTCCATGGGGCTGTTGTGGCCCAAGTGCAGGACCTGGCACTTGGCCTTGTTGAACTTCATACAATTGATCTTGGCCCGTTGATCTAGTCTCTCTCTAGAGCCTCCCTACCCTCAGGCAGATCAACACTCCCTCCCAGCTTGGTGTTGTCTTCGAAGTACCTACGTGCAAGTATTGAGCCACTTAAATGCCTGATTTTTCAGTGAGATTGTTTTATTTATATGTCAAAGTAGAAGAGATGCAAGTTTGTTCTCATATAATACTATTTTCCTTCAGTAAATTTGATTTTCACAGATGTTTAACTGGATCTAAGAGGAAAATACATTGTGGTTCCTCCAATACATTTTAATTGGGTTAATTCCATTATTTTAAATGAATGAAACCTCTTAGTGTGAATGCAATGCTACATCTTTGGGGACCAAGGTCTGGAACCTCTCCAATAGCAAGAACAGTGTTTAATTACCTTAACTTGTGACTGAATGGGGGATTGCTGCACTCTGCATTGCAATTAATTAATGTGCATACCTGCATAAATCATAGTAATGATGCACTGTCATTATTTAATGATATTCTGCTTCTTTACAATGTGTTAAGATTTTTAAGACAAGGCTATATCTAATGTTGCCCACATTTTATGCTTTTGTAATTAACAAAGTTCGTAAAATTCTAATTATATAGTCAGGTGACAACATTCTTAATACTCTTCCACCAATTATTGAAGGAATACAAATTTTATGTTGAAACACCCAAACTCCATGAGTTTTACACAGTGATTCAAAGTGAAGTAGAACATGCACTTCAAGATTGTTAAATGCATGAAAAATATGAAATCAAAGATCAGCTCCTAATTACTACAAAAGTTTCCCTCTGCATATGCATCTGTGCATTTTATTAGTGCTCTGTTTGGTTCAGTTATAAAATTATAGCTATTTGTATAAAATTTGCACTGAAGTTGTAAAATAACTAGTTGTAACATAATTTCCTGTGAACAAAACCACTGTAGAGTGCCTAGTGGCATATTCTACAAGAGAAGACTGCTTGGAGCTCTCATTTTGATCCACAGTGATCAGAAAAGCAGCACATTATTATTTAAGGGTGAAGGAGGAATGGGCAAAACCTTTAAAAAGTCATCATAATTATTAAAGGTAGGTGAAGTGTAGCGTGGGAGAGGCTAGGACAAATTCATGGTCAGTAGAGTGTGAGGAGATGCATCTTCTCTGTGTATTGGAGAATAATTGAACAGACAAGGCATCACTAGACAGCTTTGATTATGCCTTTTTCGCACCAAATTCCTGGAGAAATACGACCTGTTAGTTGTTGTTTAGATAAGTGCTAATATATACATCATATGCTCAAGATGCAGGAATTGCTGTGTGGTTCTTACTAGATGAAAGTATCATCTAGATTTTTGCTACTACCAATGCCAGGAACAGAATCTCTATGTTTTTCCTGCCAGTGTCTTTGAGTACATTAAAAACCGCTCCACCTTCTTCTCCTTCACTGCCTCTCTTCCCAGCTCTTTTCTCTATCCAACACAATTCACACATCCAAGTATATTTTAGCCCTTAAAACAGATGTTCTTTCATTCTGGTGCCCCCATGCAAGTTATTTCAAATCTGCACGAATCTGAGAGGCAGCCGAGTGTGGGAGGAGTGTGCTGTCTGGGTGGAAAAGTAGCAAGAAGAGGTGTTCCACCAGTTATTGAGGAATAAACACTGAGCACCCGTGCATGGCACGTGGAAGAGGCAATAAGTAGGATCATTTGGAATAACTGAGGCTGAAACAATCTGCGAGTCTGTACTGAGACCAGGACAATTGGAGAGAGGGAAAAGAAGGCCGTTCACCTCAACTCGCCAACATTCTCCGCGCAAACAGCCCAGGAAGATGACAGCCTCTCAGCGGCACCGCGGAAGGCGGCTGGAGCTGTTCCCCACCCCTGAAAGAGCCGCTGGAAAACAAACCAGGACAGAGACACAGCCGCGATGCGCCGGCCGCTGCTTCTTCCAGAGACGGGAGCTCTCACCTTGCGACAACAAAACTCCCGGCGGCAGGAGAACGGCAGCCCCGGGCGGGAGGGCGCAGCCC